CTTCCCTTTTGCGCTTAGTTGACGGCCGCCAGATTGTTTATAAAAAGGCCGTACGATAGATAGATATCTAGAATCAGAGTTCTTCCTCTATTCACTCCTAGGCAGATAAAAAATTCATGGGCGATTGCAGAAAAAAGTTTTGAAAGTATCATGGTCAAGATCTCCATTTACAAACTTGCTTCTGTTTTCAATTGACGCACCATGAATATGATGCTTTTGAGTTGCTGGGGGTCTGTCGCGATCAATACTTCTTCCATTAAAGACCTTGGAAGTTGGGTCGATCTTTGGCTGCCCAAGCATATTCCTGAGTGCTTCATCCCTCCGTATATGGGATTAAGGAGCAACTATGAATTTCCTTTTGCTATTACACATTAATAGCCTCACAGCTTCTTTACTATGTTCTATTATTTTGAGACTTAAATTGGACCGTCGACCGAAGAGAAAGCGAACCTCGACGTAAAATAGAAACACACACACACTAAACTAAACTACAAGTTACGATGGAGATGCCGGAAGGAACAAGGATTCCAGTTGATATTCCAATGAAGGAGTCACATGATCCCCTACCATTTATCGACTACAAATGGTATACGGGATGGTATACTGCGACCATTACTCGACCACAGATGGTATACAAAATGGTAGGAAGCGAAGAATATATAATGACACTCATTCATGTACTTAGTTTGGTTCTTCGCGATTAATACAAGTCATTCAGCATTGGTTACCTTTCTAGTTTCTGACTCGTCCGCACTTAACCAACAACCCAGTATACGTACTCGGTTGGCCTTGTTTCTCTGTTCGTTACCTTATTCGATTCTACTTGTTGCGATTACCTTACGAAGCCTGGAGGGGGCGATACACCCATCGACGCGTTGCGACTTGGACCTGGAGGGTCACTGAAACATACACGTACTTTGGAAGACACTTAAGGTAAGTGTCCTGTCTCGAAATACAACTAACTAGAACCTTATGTACGATACGAGAGGAGCCGGGTTGTGACACTAGTTAGTATGAAGTGTAAACTTTCAACTAACTTGGTTGTGGCTTCATAGACTTCTTCTTATATATAATAAAAACAAAGTGCCCCTAATTATCACATCAGAAGCTCGCTGTCATCGCCCAATCAAAGAAAGGGAGGATCTGAAGAGCCTGACACGGGGCTTGTCTATCATGTCTACTATATAGAATAAAGTAGCTGAGCACATCTTTGAATGATCTCCAGGCGTGCTCCATCCGGCACATCCAGTTTACTTGAGTAATAATCCAGGGAGACTTAAAAGTGAAGATCTTGCTAATGTATAAAAGCATTTTATAAATGTTACCGAAACAATCGACTGCTATCAACGGTATGGTAGAATAAACTGAGTATATTGCTGTCAATTTGCGCGTTAGTGGAAGGCAGGCAACTTTAACCAATCACAGTCGGATACAGCGGTATATTTTAATAGTTATATGCAACGCTCACCGATTTGATGTTTGCCTCCCAGTCGGGAATATCTTGGGGTACTCAATCTGGTCCGTGTTTACAGTGGACTCCTTCCACTGCTAGTTGCGAGTTGACTCGTGTATTGAAAGGATGCATTTGGTAATGAGATCGACGTGTCAATGGTTCCGATGATCCCGTGGGCCCAACAAAGTTCGACTTATGCAGAAGGTGGATTGCCATCACCCGAACTATTGACATCCACCATATTCCTTTTGTACCCACCCATCTGGGGTGTGATCTACGCTGCACTCTTATAAGAGCACAAGGTAACAGATCGCACTCGAAAACAGCAGAATCAACATCAAACCCGTTCTCTACAATGTTGATCAAACAGGCTCTGGTATCGGCTCTTCTGGCCCCTGTTGCTTTGGCTGCCACCAACACAGACACTGTTTTCTCTGGTTTCGACAATCTTCACAAACGAATCCTCTCCGCCCATGACTGCCTCAAAGCCTTCAACGGCGGCGTCACACAGAGTCTGTACTGTGGTTTCGAGTTTTACAACCTCTTGACGAGCAGCAGCTCTGCGAGAAAAGACCTGGCAGATTTGGATTCTGTCCCCGCGGATCAGGTCCAGACTTACTTGGACTACTATCATGACATTCGTTCGTCTGTTTCCAATACTTTGAGTACCGGAGCGTCAAAGGTATGGGAGTGACAAGTCTTTTCCGGTTAGGATACTATATGCTTACTATAATCAAGGTCGGTGATATGGACTCAGCGGGTCTGAAGACGTTTGCGGGAGTCATTCTCCGAAACTTTGTCAGCGAAAGGGCGACTTTCGAGACCTTGTCGAAACAGAAAATACCGGCATCGAACCACTCGGAACTCGCTGGCCCTGTCGAGAGTCTTAGGGATGAGTTTGAAAAGACTCTTGCAGTCTTCGTTTGAGCTCGCCGGCTGGATATGAGGGCAGATATTTGGCAGTAAACCTTGCGTGTCTTTTGAAACCAACACATTGTATTTGGTCTTGTTGTATTCATTAATAGCGATGAATGAGTTGCCATCGGGGAAAATACAGTGATTACTTTATCGTGCCTATATCGATATACCAGCCAGTTGCCTCTCAATGTTTCTCCACACCTCCCTTTTCAGGTGCCACGTCAACCACCAGTTCCCATCCGCGTCCTTCCCAATCACCGAACCCAGATTCAGTAGCATGGGCCATCGATAAATCGTGTTTGGTATGATCAATGACGGTTTCCCCACTGACCGGGCCTTTTTATCAACCGGGCTCACGACCGCAGACGAGAAATCAACGTTGAAAAACCTCGCCTGATGCCAGTTCGAGCAGTGGATTAACATGTTCGATAGACCCATCGCCGACGCAAGTGTACCTCCAGCCTTGTCCATGCCTTCTTTCTGAACGGCTGCGTAAGCCGTAATCTGGTCTTTGGAGCGCTGCGCTAGAAGAGAATGCCGCAGCTTGGAAGCCAGGTAACTAACAGGCCGCTCGAGCATCTGGGCAGGAGAGAGGATCGTATGTGCAGTCAGCCATGCATTTCCGATATAGGCCGTATCCCGCGGGAAACGGTCTGGCAACGCAGGCCGGATGTTGAAATTGTTCAGGATCGTGATGGGGGTTTGCAATGACGGTTGGATGCACCGGACAATGCACTGCGCCCACCATGCCACGAGGACATCGCTTTCACTCACAAACGGTGTCTTGCCGGTGCCGTCATCGCCCACGGACAATTCCTGCATGGCCGACTCTCGCATCTCCGTCACGATCGATCCGGGAATACACACCATTCGGTGTTCGTGCTTGGGGTATGGTATCATTTCCCACATCCACCGAATCACGAGCAACAGTGGCCCGATCCATTGCAGAATCATCAACATCCACCGCGACCGCACGAACCACTCCATTGGAGGCTGCGCATTCAAATCCGCCAAGGGGTCTTGCAAAAACCCACAGAACGGCGGGACTTGATCTTCGCAGCCGCGAAGAACGGCCGTCCACGCGTTGAGCAGGCTCGCGCGCCCCGAGGCATCCATAAAGGTATGCAGCCATGCCAGCTTCAACAGGGTGGCATTTTGAAAGGTCACGAGGCGAATATCAAGCTGTGGGCGATCTGCATATATCCAGTCTTCAAGCTGTTTCGGTGAATCGGGTGTGTAAAGTAGATTGTCGAGATTCGCAGCCGAAAAAGGGAACACAGTCGGAGATTTCGTCGCACGTGGCATTTTCGAAAAAGACAGGTCATCAAGGCTTGCATCATGTGTGGTGGTGGAAAACGTGAATCCGGGGCATTTCGCATGGTATTTCTCGGGGATATGATATTCAAGTTTGCCAGTGTACTATATAAACATCCTAATCAGCGCTAGGAAGAGGAAATCAAAGCAATTACGACGTAGTACGTACATTCAGACGTAAGCGAGCACCCAGCTTCTTCCAGTCCCCGATTTCCATCAAGCGTTGCAGGGACCGACGGAGATGCTCTGGATCCAAGACATGGTCAAACTGAAGGGTGAACTCGAGGGCAATGCCTCGATTCATCCACGTATCGTCCTTGGAGTGTAGAGGGATTACTTGTGCAGCCATTTTCCACTCTGTCAACGTGGCTGGGATGCAAGAGGGGAGGAGGGGAGTTCGGAGGGGATTGCAATCCCACATCTACCCAGGCGTAAAATACAAAATTACCAAATACACAGGAACAATAGCGGTGTATCTCAGCTGTATAGTGACTATTATTGCATGTCGTTTGCATGTCGACCAAATAGGTAGTATACAGTGATTTACTACATGCATTATCACACGCTAATTAAAATGGGACTTCCCTTTTGGGTAATAGCATCACATCTCAAGACCCACTGCGTCTTTTCAGCTGACAGTGACAGCTGAAGGCTGAATAGTCGGTCAATCATCAATAGCGTGTGGGGAAAGCCTCGGGCGTTCGGAATTGATGCAGTCACTTTGTATGTTGATCTACAGACTTACAGCTCATTGTATATTAAGCCGATTGGGGTTTATGACCTGTACTTACACGAGACACAACTTACTTGTCCTGCCTCTTCATCTCCTCCTAATTTCCCTAGTGCTTGACACATCAGTCAACCTTTCCCTCACATAAACATTACCAATGGGTGAATTTATCAATGGTGCCGTCACTCACGGTGTGCCTCTGAACGAAACATCAGCCGACACATTGGTAAATCTTGCGACCAGGTTCGGCACTGATGAGGAAACCCACCCCCGTCAAGATGACACCGATACCGAAGATACCCCCGTCCCCGTCCCAATTGCGATTGTCGGAATGGCCATGCGACTGCCCGGGGGCGTGAGCTGCGAAAAAGAATTCTGGGACTTTCTGATCAACAAACGCGATGGCCTGTGCAAGGTTCCAGAGAGCCGGTACAACATTGACGTTTTTTATGAAGACTCCAGACCGGGTGCGATTCGGACACAGAACGGATACTTCCTCAAAGATGATATCAGGCGGTTTGACCCGGAATTTTTCGGGATCAGTAAGATTGAAGCTGCGAAGCTGGATCCGCAACAACGAATGCTACTCGAGGTTACCTGGGAGTGTATGGAGAACGGGGGGCAAACGGGATGGAGGGGAAAGAACATCGGATGCTATGTTGGTGTTTTCGGGGAGGATTGGCTGGACGTGAAGATACGAGACCCCCAGGATCATGACCGGTATCGCGTTGTTGGAGCGGGCCCGTATGCACTGTCTAACCGGGTCTCGTATGAGTATGATTTGGGAGGTCCCAGTGTGACTATACAGACAGCCTGTTCGTCGTCCCTGGTGGGGCTGCATGAGGCATGTCAGGCTCTCTACTCTGGTGAATGCTCTTCTGCCTTGGTAGCTGGCACTAACCTCATCTTTACACCGACAATGAGCACGTCAATGTCGGATAATATGGTGATTTCAAAGAGTGGTGTTTGCAGGACGTTTGATGCGGCAGCTGATGGCTATGGAAGAGGAGAGGCTGTGAATGCTATCTTCATCAAGCCTTTGGATAAGGCACTTCGAGATGGTGACCCAGTCCGGGCTGTTATTCGCTCTAGCGCAGTCAACTGCGATGGGAAGACTCCTAGCATCTCCACCCCTGGGTCTGCAGCGCAAGAGAGGTTGATCAGAAGAGCGTATAAGAAAGCCGGACTGGAGGTGTCGTCCACTGCGTTATTCGAGTGCCATGGCACAGGGACGACTGTGGGAGATTTGGCAGAGACGTCTGTGGTGGCTAAGATCTTTGGGGATAAAGGCATTCACATTGGAGCGGTATGTGCTGTTATTAGCGTTTATTTAATCAAGTTTATTGTCCATACCGAGCCCTAGAGCTATGACAGACCATTATCCGTGGACTTGAGGCCGTTAGCTATTCTACAGTCTCTTATCCCTATAAGTTCCTGGGGCACTAGCCCCCTTCCATACTCTTTCTGATCCTTTTCCTCGCCCCAGACCGCCTGTTTGCGCAGGGCTTTCGAGCACAGTGCTCTCCTTGTGTTTCGTGCGGAATGGGTGCGGCCTAGGCTGACTCCAGCTTAGGCTACCCTTCCTGCTATCCTTCTCCTGTTCGAATTGCCTCCTCCAATGCTTCCAATCCCCATTCATCGTCCCTTTGGG